AAGATATAGACCAATGGAACACAACAGAGGCATCGGAGGCAACACAACATACCTACAACCATACAATCTTTGATAAACCTGACAAAAACAAGCAATGGGGAAAGGATTCCCTGTTCAACAAATGGTGTTGGGAAAACTGGCTAGCCATGTGAAGAAAGCAGAAACTGGACCCCTTCCTGACACCTTACACTAAAATTAACTCCAGATGGATTAAAGGTTTAAACATAAGACCTGGCACCATAAAAACCCTAGAAGAAAATCTAGGCAAAACCATTCAGGACATAGGAGTAGGCAAGGACTTCATGACCAAAACACCAAAAGCATTGGCAACAAAAGCCAAAATAGACAAATGGGACCTAATGAAACTCCACAGCTTCTGCACGGCAAAAGAAACAGTCACTAGAGTGAATCGGCAACCAACAGAATGAGGAAAAAATCTTTGTAGTTTACCCATCTGACAAAGGGCTGATATCCAGAAATTCTAGAAGAAATGGCTAAATTCCAGGACTTTCACCCTCCCAAGACTAAGCCAGGAAGAAGTTGAATCCCTGAATAGACCAATAACAAGGTGTGAAATTGAGGCAGCAATTAATAGCCTACCAATCAAAAAAAGTCCAGGACGAGATGAGTTCACAGCCAAATTCTACCGGAGGTACAAAGAAGAGCTGTTATCTATCCTTCTGAAACTATTCCAAACAATACAAAAAGAGGGTATCCTCCCTAACTCATTTTATGAGACCAACATCATCCTGATACCAAAATTTGGCTGAGACACAACTAAAAAAGAAAACTTCAGGCCAATACTCATGATGAACCTTGAGTAAAAATCCTCAATAAAATATTGGCAAACAGAATTCAACAGCACATCAAAAAGTTTACCCATCACAATCAAGTTAGCTTCATCCCTGGGATGCAAGTCTGGTTCAACATATGCAAATCAATAAACGTAATCCATTACATAAACAGAACCAAAGACAAAAACCACACAATTATCTCAATAGATGCAGAGAAGGCCTTCAATAAAATTCAACAGCTCTTTATATTAAAACTCTCAATAAACTAGGTATCAGAGGAATGTATGTCAAAGTAATAAGAGCTATTTATGACAAACCCGCAGCCAATATCATAATAAATGGGTAAAAACTGAAAGCATTCCCTCTGAAAACTGGCACAAGACAAGGATGCCCTCTTTTAAAACTCCTGTTCAACATAGTATTGGAAGTTCCAGCCAGGGCAATCAGGCAATAACAAGAAATAAAAGATATTCGATTAGGAAAAAGGAAGTTAAATTGTCACTCCTTGCAGATGACATGATTGTATATTTAGAAGACCCCATCATCTGAGCCCAAAATCTCCTTAAGCGGATAAGCAACTTCAGCAAAGATTCAGGATACAAAATCAATGTGCAAGAACACAAGCATTCCTATACACCAATAACAGACTTAAAGAGAGCCAAACATTGAGTGAACTCCTATTCACAATTGCTAAAAAGAGAATTAGATACCTAGCAATACAACTAACAAAGGATGTGAAGACCTCTTCAAGGAAAACCACTGCTCAAGGAAATAAGAGAGGACACAAATAGATGGAAAATTATTCCATGCTCATGGTTAGGAAGAATCAATATCATGAAAATGGCCATACTGCCCAAAGTAATTTATAGATTCAATGCTATTCCCATCAAGTTACCACTGGCTTTCTTCACAGATTTGGAAAAAACCACCTACAATTTAATATGGAACCAAAAAAGAGCCTGCATAGCCAAGACAATCATAAGCAAAAAAAAAAAAAAAAAATCTGGAAGATTCATGCTATCTGACTTCAAACTATACAATATACAAGGCTACAGTAATCAAAATAGCATGGTACTGGTACCAAAGCAGAGATATAGAACAATGGAAGAGAACGGTGGCCTCAGAAATAATGCCACACATCTACAATCATCTGATCTTTGATAAGCCTGACAAAAACAAGCAATGGAGAAAGTGTTCCCTATTTAATAAATGGCATTGTAAAGACTGGATCCCTTCTTTACACCTTTTACAAAAATTAACTCCACATGGATTAAAGATTTAACCGTAAGATCTAGCACCATAAAAACCCTAGAAGAAAACCTAGGCAATACCATTCAGGACATAGGCACGAGCAAGAACTTCATGACTAAAACACCAAAAGCAATGGCAACAAAACCCAAAATAGACAAATGCGATCTAATTAAACTTAAGAGCTTCTGCACTGCAGAAGAAACTATCATTAGAGTGAACTGGCAACCAACAGAATGGAAAAAATTTTTTTGCAATCTATTCATCTGACAAAGAATATCCAGAATCTACAAAGAACTAAAACAAATTGACAAGAAAAGAACAACCCCATTCAAAAGTGGGCAAAGGATATAAACAGACACTTTTCAAAGGAAGACATATATGAGGCCAACAAACATGAAAAATGCTTATCATCACTGGTCATTAGAGAAATGCAAATCAAAACCACATTGAGATACCATCTCATGCCAGTTACAATGGTGATCATTAAAAAATCTGGAGACAACAGATGCTGGAGAGGATGTGGATAAATAGGAATGCTTTTACACTGTTGGTGAAAGTGTAAATTAGTTCAACCATTGTGGAAGACAGTGTGGCGATTCCTCAAGGATCCAGAATTAGAAATACCATTGGACCAAGCAATCCCATTACTGCGTATATACCCAAAACATTATAAATCATTCTATTATAAAGACACATGTACACATATGTTTATTGTGGCACTATTCACAATTGCATAGACTTGAAACCACCCAAATGCCCATCAATGATAGACTGGATAAAGAAAATTTGGCACATATACACCATGGAATACTATGCAGCCATCAAAAAGGATGAGTTCATGTCCTTTCCAGGGGCATGAATAAAGCTGGAAACCATCATTCTCAGCAAACTGACACAAGAACAGAAAACCAAATACTGCATGTTCTCACTTATAAATGAGTGTTGAACGAGAGCACATGGACACAGGGAGAAGAACATCACACACTGGGGCCTGTCAGGGACTATGGGGATAGGGAAGGGATAGCAGGGTGGTAGAGGGTAGAAGGATCGCAGGGGGATGGGGACTAGGGGAGGGATAGCATTAGGAGACATACCAAATGTAGATGATGGGGTGATTGATGCAGCAAACCACCATGGCACGTGTATACCTATGTAACAAACCTGGACGTTCTGCACATGTACCTCAGAACTTAAAGTATCTTATATATAAAAAAAAGATTTCTCTGGGTCCTTGTATTTCCAAATGAACTTTATTATAAGTCTGTCAATTTCCTCATTTTATTTGACCATAATTTTATTCCTGTTTTATCTTATTTATTTCATGTTGCTTACTTTGCTTTCTCTTCCTGGAATCTCTATTAGGTAGACTATTGCTAATTAATGTTAAATGTCTGCTGACATTTTACCCCTTGTATTCTCTACCCCTTTACTTTTTTCCCCCATGTTTTGGCAAAATCTCTTCTCTTAGTGTTTCAGGTTTCTCTTTACATTTCTACTTTTTCTTTCATGCTATTAAATACCATACAATTTTCAGAAATATTGCAGTGAAATTTTTAATTTATAAGATTTATGATTGGTTCTCTTTCTTTTAACACACAGGTTTATATGTTCTGTCAATTGTTCCCTCAACCAGGAATTTCTTTGCTAGTTTAAGTTGGCATCCTTCTTTTGTAGTGATTTCTTAGACTTTTTGTCCAAAAATTTGATGATTCTCTTTTTGGAAGCTAGAAGTCTTATATTTTTAGAACTGCTATACTATTCTCTGTGGATGTATCTTCTGAGGACAGGATCTAGCCTCTGTTAATTTTTCTGGAACAGTATTTGGTGGCCATTGTTTTCTCCTTAGCTTTGGTCTTTTGTTATATCCTAGGGGGTTCAGTGGCTTCCTAGGGAAATGCTCAATGTCAGGATTTCCTCAGTGTAGTATCTAGCCTGTGATAGCTAATATTGTGGTCCACTCCACAGCTTCACTAGCACAGAAAAAGGGAAGACCAATCCAATGGCTCTGACTATGGATTCTCTGTCAGTTGCCAAATATTTGCCTAATTGGCTATTTCTACTCATTTTATTCATTGCCTGTGATCCTAGATAGCTTCCACTGCTCTACCAGTCTTCTGAGCCCATATGTCAATCGGATTGGATCTGATTTACAGCTTTCAAAGTTTCTTATTTCTAGCTCATCAGTGGCTATTTTTTCCTCACAGCCAACTCCACTATGTCTTAGTTATATTAAAAGACCTTTTTTAGGTTTTAGTTGAGGAGTTACATAAATGGGAGAAAAGTCTTCTCAGTTCCCCATTTTGTTACAAATTTTTCACACAAACATTTAAAAACATATAACCTGATAGTTTTCTAGTAGGATACTATTCTTTATGAATGTATTGTTTATATTTTCCATGTTTATAAATTCCTATATCCTTCTATAGGAATGAATATTATCTATGTGCCTAAGTGTGTATTTATATGTTTGTGTGTTTGTGTGTGTGTATGTGTGTGTCTGAGAGAGAGAAAACACATTTACATCTTGGTCATCACGCTTAAACTATCATGCCTGGATATGACTATTATATTTAAGATATTTACACTTAAATATATTATATGCAAAGTCTTTATATCAAGGTATACATATGATATTCAAACTAATAAAAGAACAAAATTAAAGAAAAAAATCAAGATCAAAAAAGAGTATTGTCAAGAGACACTTCTACTTCAGAGTAAAAGAGAAAAGATATAGTTAAGGGAGAAAAATAGAAATACATCTTGGCACCATGCATTCCAAACACTACTCAGGTTAAATATGGATGTCTTTTTGAATATGACAACATTTTCTTATTTTTATAAATGTTGATGATTCCCCTGCTGTACCTAGGTGACTGTGTGTCTATATATTTGTACTTTCTTTTATATGCTTTTATCTGTGTTATAAATTTTAAAAATCTGTGGTCTCTTTCTCAGGATTATTTTCATCTTCAATTTTCTGGAGCTCTTTCCATGGGAAGATGACCCTATCTAAGAAAGGTCAGTTCTTGTATAATAAATAACATATAACCAAACAGGAGAAACTGATATTTAAGCATTTTAAAAATCTTTAAAATGTTTAAGGAGGAAAGAATTTATTTTTTTAAAAACTCTTTAACAGAAGGTCAAGTTATAAACAAAAACTGCTAGAAGGCTCATCCCTGGGAGGTTATTTCTATCTAAATAACACAGTGATTGAAGACAGAAATATCAGGTGGAGTAAAATTACATTGTTTAGTTGCCACAAAAATTATTTTTTATTGGATAGATATTATCATCAGACTTGATAAAAACTTCATTGATCACCCTCTGGCACATTTTCTCCTTTATTTCCCGTGAAAGGAAGAGCAAATGAGAAAAACTAAAAGGGCATTTCAGAAGTGACTAACATAATTCATAGAAATCCACATATCGAGAAAGTCAGTACACTCTCTGGAGACAAATGCTTAGAAGCTTCAGCAACAATGGTGAGTTGCATTGATAGAGTTCTCTAGAGATAAACCTTTGCTTTATCAATAGAAGGCTAAGAGTTAAGCTTTTTGGTTCTGTTCTGCAGGCTCCAAGAGACCAGAACATACCACACATCTATAGATTTTAAAAAGTAGGAAAAGATCCAAGACTTGTGATATGTGGGCACCAAAGCTTAAGGGACAGAGATCTCAGTTCAGAGCAAAAGAGTTCAGTTTAGAGAAAAATATTTATAAATAGACCAAAAGAAGTAAGGTTTAATATAAACCTTGTTATTACAATTGTATAGATCTTTATACATTTTCCTTTTGCTGTTCTTTAGTGTCTGTGTTTTATATATGGTAATTGAAATTCATACTGTTCATGGAATATCAATCGATGTGCCAGGTAGGTGCTATGATAAATGCAAAATAGTAGACATGATTATTGTATCTGTGGAATTAGCAGTCAGTTCTGTTAATTAGTCAACCAATTAAGAAATAGACTAATAAAATCTACAATAAGGAAAGCACAGGGTATGACAGGAACAGAAGTCAGGGGTACCTCCCTGAGTCTGGAAGTGGGGTGACGTTCAGGAAGAGTCTCTTAGGGAAAATCATTAGTAAACAAGTGAATGAGGAAAAGGAGTTTGCCAGATAGAGAAAACATTTGGAGACGTAGAAAGAGAAGGTACGTTGTTTCAAATAAGAAAAACAATATATGCAAAGTCTTTAAAAAGAGCATTACACATTGAAAAGCCTGTAAGAAATTAGTTACAGGAATAGCAGAGGGTAGTGGAATCTGGGAGGGATAACATTAGGAGAAATACCTAATGTAGATGATGGGAGGATGGATGCAGCAAATCACCATGGCATGTGTATACTGATGTAATGTGTAACAAACCTGCACATTCTGTACATGTACCCCAGAACTTAAAGTATATTAATATAAAAAAAAGAAGTTAGTTATGGATGGATAAAAGGGTGTGAGGCAGGGAAGAACAGTAGCAAAAGTAGAAGCTACACAAGGCCAGGTAATAAAGAGGTTCATGGTCATCCTATGATATTTAAACTTGGTTCTAAGGGAACCTAGAGTATTGTCACTACTATGTTTATGTTTCAGAAAGATCACTCTGACTGCTACATGGAAAACACTCTGGGAAGAAACAATGAAAGCATTGAACAAGCTCTTGCTGTAATTCAAGTCAGATATGATGATATGACAGTGTTTCAGACTGGGGTAGTAGCAACAGGGATGAAACTGTGTGGACACATTCAGGAAACAAGATAAGATTCCAAAGGATTTAATAATTCATTATATGTGGGAGAGCTGAACAAAGAAAAAGCAGGTAATCATGGCACCTAGGTTCCTGACCAGGGCAACTAGAAGAATGGTGAGGCAATTCTCTAAGTTTGGACCCGTTATGTACAGTTGGATAAATTGCACAGCTCCGTGTTGCCAGAGATTGATTAGCTTATTACCTCCCTTCTAGAAAGAAGGACATTCAGACTTAGAGAATTCAAAGGGCTTGCATAACTTCCCTAATAACCAAATGGTATGTTGCATCCCAATCTTGGTTCTGTAATGTCCAGGTGCATATTTAATAAGTATGATATTTTTATTTTCCATTATTTGGATCTGAAATTATCTTAACTATTTCATTTACTCATTTAAGATCAGTAAGTACTCTTTGCATTTATAATGGGTAAACATTGAGAATTAAAGTCAGCAAGGTCCAATGCCTGTCTTTAAGGAGCTCCCATCTCAATTCCTGACTTGCAAAGCAAGCAGCGCCTAGTAAGGAATAAATTGTCTGATTGATACATGCCTTATAACCACATAGTTATTTGGTTACTTTTAATTTCTTCAATTAAAAATTACTTCTCCAATTAGAAAATTCACAGGCAGTGGGAAAATGTTGCATGATTTTGTCTTCCAATACACTCCAAGAAGCAAGTTATTTGTGAGGTGATAAACTTATATGTGAATAATCTGAGGCAAAGGGGAGTAGTGACGTGCTGCAAGGGCAATAATCCCAGGATACACATGACAAAAGAAAGCAAAATGCTCCTTACAAATCTCTCCCCATTGGCTGAAGATGGACCCCTCTTCATCCAAGGCTAGAAATTGATCACCTAGCTCCAGTAATTGAAATATGTGCTGTTTGTACCTTGTCCTACCTGTCCTTTATCAACTGATCTAAATTGGATGAATTTGTAAATCTGCCATATAAGTATTTTGGCTTGGTTTTGTCATCTCAGGAACTACTCTGTTCAGATGTAATCTCTATTTCTTCATAAGAAAGGTATATATATATATATATATATATATATATATACCTTAAAACAGGAAAAGTTTTAATATTTATTTCAAACTGAACACTTATAATTCAGTGTTCATTTTAATCAAGTTAACTTAAACTTTCAAAAATACTATGAATTGAGTTAAAAACAAAACTTCTGCCTTTATGGAATGACAGAAAAAACAAAAGCATAGTGGTTTTCTCAAATCATAGCATATTTTAACACACCAAATTTGATAATAAAATATGGCAATGTATCTACGCTTTCGGTGCCGCAGATATATTACAAATGATGTTTTCTACTTCGCTATGTATTTTAGAGAGTGAGTACAAAAATTGATTTATGATTAATATCATAAGTTCCATATCAATTATAATCACACAGGTATGGCATAAGAATTAACTTTACACCATTACTGAAAAGAAAATAGATTGTTGATAAACAGGAAATCACTCAACACTCAGGATCTCCAACAGGTAATTGATCTGCAGCTTTATATTCTTTGTTCTTATAAGAATAATTGTCCAGAAATGACAAATGTTGCCAACCATTTTTTTCTTGACAATATAATTGTGAAATAGCCAATTAGACTTGGAGTTTCCGATCAATATTTTGATAGCTTTTTAAGATGAAGCATTCTTTTGATGGTGGCCAAAATTAAGGAATACATTAAGGAGATTTTCAATAAGTGATTTAGTGCTGCATCTAGTACACAGTTTAATTAATATGTTTGTAACACTGCCAAAGATTAAGCAGAATTTACTAACAAACACTGCTATGCTTTAACTTCTACTTTGATGATTTACTTTACATTAATACAAATGAGGCAAAATTAACACCAGCTCACAGTATAGCAGCCCATTTAATTTGGTCAAATATTTCTCAACTGCTTTCAAGTGACACATTTAGTTCAAGGGTAATAAAATCGGGCCATTTATCATTTTTCATTTTAAAACAAATTATGTATATGTTTACATTTCAAATTAGTTTCTATTCTCTCAGATGCAAGACAAAAAACATCTTAAAATATTTCAAAATTTAGTTATTCATCAAAACTTTGGTACGATAAAAGAAAAATAAAAAGAATTCCTGAGTAAAGTGCTATTTATTTTCTAGAAAAACTATCTGAAAATAAAAAGTCGATTTACCTATTTTTACTGTAAATAAGAGCATGTCATTATAATTATCGTTATGTATTTTTTTACTTACTTCATATCAGAAAAAGTTTGTTCAGGTTTTCTCTAATGTGCTGACAGAAGATTATATTTACTGTAAATAAAACCCATTACTCAACATCAGGAGTCACTCAAAAGAAAGAAAACATATTTCTAAAAACCTTTACTTAAAGAGGGACAGAGCACAAAATATTCACCACACAAAAAAAGTGAAAGCAAAAATCACTGAGATAACTATTTCATTATTTATTTTATATTTGTAGAGACAGGGTCTCACTATATTGGCCAGGGTGATTTCAAACTCCTGACCTCAAGCAATCCCCCTGCCTTGGCCTCCCAGAGTGCTGGGATTATGGGTGTGAGCCACCGTGTCCAGCCAAGATGCCTATTTAGAAGAAATGGTTTAGAAAGCAGAAAACATATGGTTGAATTTATGAGAAAAAATATGATATTATTACTTAAAGGAGTGCTAAGTATGACTAAAAGTAGTTAGGAATTCTGTGGTAGAGATGAGTTTTGTAATGAACACATGTTCTGATCCTGGTCACAGCAGTAGGCAAAGTGGTATAGTAAATAAAAGGCTTAGGGTAAAACATTCCAAAGCACACTCCTGTGTTTTTAAAGTGCTTCTAAATTAAAAAAAAAAAAAAGAAAAAGAAATTCAAGGCATGCAATGCATTTCTCTGGGGGAGCTAGAATTAAGCAGCCTCATACAGTCAGACATAAAAATGTATGGTGACATTATGTTTTGTCTGCACTTTCCTATTTGCATTTCTAGAACAGCTAATGTCTAAATGTTCAACAAAAATTAATGTGTATTGACTTTGATTCACAATTTTAAAAGGAGAAATGAAGGGAAAATTGTCAATACCAAAGCAGGCAATCTCTTTGGAGGCATTCATTTCCACTGCTCAGTTTTTCTAGAATAAGGTCCACATTAAGGTGTTTGGGTTGAAAGTATGTTTTATACAACAAATGACTAAGAAGGCAGACATTGTTCTCCGGAAAGAAGAATGTGTGATATGGATGGCAGAAGGATTCCAAATGGATGGTTTATACTCTCTTCTCCTGATTATACATTTGTCTCTAAGGCATTTTCATCTCTTTCCTTGTGCTCTGTGGAAAGGCATGTGTGCATTGTGCCTGGCTTATATTTCCTTCTAACAGGAAAGCAAAGGCAATCTCAGAGGAGAAGAAATGAAAATAACTGGGAGGGGATCTCTTTGTTATCCTTTGATTTAACTCTGGAACCTGTTACTTCTGGCTGCAGCCCTAAGACTTTGATTCTAGCCTGGCTGGCACATACTGGCTGCTGGCAGTGAGAAACATTGCTTTACCAAGTTCCCAAATAACATGAAAGATTCCAGTGTTCTCATCTGTGTGTGACCCAGACAGTGGGTTCAAAAATTTTTAACAGTTCCCTGTCAAATCTTGGAATTCATAGTTTGATTTTTGTTTTGTTTCCATTAAATGGAAGAAAGAATTAGACCACCTTTCATCTATAAAAATTTAGGCTTCATTTCAAGCTGAACCCCGAGATAATTTTAAAATTCTATGCTATATTTTAAAGCCATGGTTGCAAAATAATAATAAAACTACTTTATATAAAAGTTGCCATAGATTAAAAAAAAACAAATCTTTCCCATAAGAGGTTTAAACTGCTCTCTCCATTGCTCCCCATCCCTATCACCATTAGAAGGGCATTATTACACACATGAAAACTGAATTTCTGCCTGACACGTAACTCCTGAGCCCCTACATACTGCCTAGACTCCAGGCCTTCCATTTATTTTTTTAACCCTGTCTAGAACACTGATTCTGGCTGATGTTCTAGTACTTTTACTTATTCTTATTTCATGCAGTGAAATTAATTGCAAAACTCTATTATAATGATGTTGGTATTAAAATGACAAATCATTGACTACAGTATTGCTGGCAGAAATGAAGGGAATATTTAAAATGCTCTTCCATGAAAAGAGATTGACAAACTCTGATAATCCTCAATGCAGGGAGAGGAGGACTTATATCTTTCAAGCATAGCTTCTTTAGGAAAAAAATAATAACTGACAACAATAAGGAGGTAAAAGGAGGAGCCCAATGGGAGAGGAAAATGAGATTTTTAAGAATTTTTTACATGGGTAAAGTTGTGTTAGAACATCTGAGTCAGGGTTTCCATGAGGTAGTTGGGTTTGTAACTTAAGATTGGAGCTGTAGAAAAAAATATGTTGGGTGGCATAATTGTGGATGAAATGAGAGTTCATTCATGAGAGGCAGGGAAAGAGAAAAGCAGGAGGCCAGAACCTGACCCTTGGGATTTTCAGGGCAAGGAAAAGAACTAGAGGAGGGAACAAAAGAGTTATATGAGGGATAGGCGAAGGCCAGGGTGATTTCTCCTTACCTCCTGAAAGATGACAAGCTAAAAGTCGAAGTGGTATTTTTATTCTCCTGGATTTTCTACCTTATCTAGAAAATAAGATATATTCTAATGGATGTGGTTTCTCTTCAGAATGTACCTCAGGATGAGAAAGTAATCATGAGGAAGGAAATTTGCTTGATTGAGCATTTTTTTCTGAGTCATCATGTACTGCTGTGTACATATACTGTGCCAGCCATGGAAATGTCCCACTGAAATCTTCAAGACAAACTATTTTGAGGAGCAGATTGGTAGCCCCAGCTGCTTCCTCTCTAGATCCACCACTGCACTGAAACCAGTCTTCCTTGGCTGTTCCTAGTACATGACTAAACCAGTGAGGGTACTTGCAAACCATTCTTGCTCAACACTACTTACCAGGCATTTTGCCTAGAGATTCCCACTGACCTGATCAAGATTATCTCAGAACTGCATTGCTATCTGGAGCTTTTCTGACCCTTTTCCTCCAGCCCTGATTCCACAAGCCTGCATCGAACCCACTCTTGATGTCTACTCCTATTGGCTTCCCCTTCACAGGCATTTCTCCCAATGTACAATTCTTAGTATCTGCTTCTCAGAAGCCTCAAATTGTTACATACCAACTTAAATTTAATGTTGACCTGGGTAGCTCTGACAAATCTTATCCCTCAGAAATAAAAGCCAAACCTCTAAAACATTTATTTGTGATTTGTTTTCTGAAGATTTTAAGACTTACATATATTCTATTTGGAATCAGATCTGTGGAAATTATACATAAAGCCATTGTGAGAATTACATAAAATGATTGTTTATGTATCATTCTTTACAATTTCACTTGAGGAAACTCAAAAAGGTTAACAACTTGTCCCAAATCACCCTGACATTAAAAGGCAGTATCAGAATTAAAACTCAGTGGACGTCACTGGTGTAAAAGCTCCAAGATTTTCCATGGAAACAGAAAATCATATTCTGGCTTATGAAGCATTGGGTAAATCCGTGAATGTTTCATTCATCAGGTAGTGAGAGGCTCTGTCTGTGGTGCTGAATCGCAAAAATTTCGGAATCACTATTCTCACAGAGCTTATTGCCTGATGGAAAAAACAATTAATAAATGAAATGACTTCAGCTCCTTTATTTCAGTTAAAAAAAACCATAAGTAATATCTATGGTTTCACTGACTCTTACTAACTTAAGTAGAAAAAAATTCATTAACTTAAACTTCTGAAGAATTTTATCTGAAAGGGATAATCTCGAGGTCTAATGGAAAACATCACAACTATGTGTATAATATTGAAAATATTTCCATCGAGTATTAGAAACAGAAAACATAAAAGAAGACCTGGATAAGTGAAAATTACACTTTAAAAAATCAGTCTGTTGCCTGGCAAGAGTGGCACCATCCTGAAGCAAAACAATCAAGATAACCAGTGTTTGACTCCTATATACCAAGATGTTCTGCAGCAAGGTCCTAAAACAATGCTTGTAACATAGATAACTCCTCATAAAGATGCTTATCTAACCTCCCTGGTGGTCATGGGTTTCTGCGAGAAAGTCTGAGATGTGACCAGCTGCACATGTTTCACCCTAAAAGCTTGCTATATAAAGGATATTTTCTGAAGGGCATGTAAAGGAATCCATCATCTTGAGGCCACCACAGATATCACTTCATTCATAAGTCCCTACCAAATATTTTCTGTCTGAGAAACTAAATTTGTGAGGCTCTTTCTTTGATCTCTCATCTCCTTTGATTTTTTTGAGGTAGGTTTCCATATACCTGATCACCCTGAAATATTTGCAAGCTAGCCAGGAACCAAGAAACCAAGAAATAAGTAAGTGAACTAAAGAATCTGTGGGGAAAATATCAGGATGGCTAGCTGTGTCTCTATGGGGTGGTGAGGCATGTCTGTTAGGC